GGTAGCTAGGATAGTTATCTGTCGTTGGTTGAGTTTGCCTCCAACAACAGCTATCACTCCAGTATCGGCATGGTACCTTTTGAGGCACTATATGGGAATACGAGTCGGACACCGTTGTGTTGGATAGAGGTTGGTGAATGGGTGTTAGTGGGGCCAAAAATTGTTGATACCACTAATGCTAACATCCAACTGATTAAGAGAAATCTGAAGGCAGCACAAGACTGACAGAAGAGTATTGCGGACCGACATTCCAGGGATTGTAAGTATAAGATCGGTGACTTTGTCTTCTTGAAGTTCCCTGGAAAGGTGTGGTTCGATTTGGTAAGCGAGGGAAATTGAGCCCTCAATATGTTGGTCCCTACCAGATTACAAAGAGGATTGGTGTAGTTGCTTATAAGTTGGAGCTACAACCAGAGTTGGCGCAGATTCACAATGTTTTTCATGTTTCTATGCTTCAAAAGTATGTGCCAAATCCCTCTCATGTTATTTAGCCAAAACTGCTGGAAGTAAATTAGGATGCAAGCTATGTCAAGAAGCATGTGGTGATCGTCGACCGACAAGAGAAACTCTGAGAAACAAAGTCATCCCATTAGTAAAAGTGTTGTGGAGAAACCATGCCATCGAAGAAGCAACATGGGAAACGGAGGATTTGATAAGGAACCAGTACCCATATTTGTTTAGTTAAGGTTGTAATTTCGGGGACGAAATTTCTTTTAAGGAGGTAGATTGTTAAACCCCACCCTAAATTTTCACAATTTCCCTAAAGGTTTATTGAATTTACAATTTAGTCCCTCACTTCTTACCCAATCTGGATCCTCTTTCTAGATTATCTCCCTCTCCTTGACTACCATATGGCAGCCCACTAACTCACCCTTATCTCTCTTTCCCGAGTCTCTCTCAACTCACTCTTCTCTCTCTCTCTCTCTCTCTCTCTCTCTTTCACTTTCACTCTTTTTCACTCTCACGGATCTCTCTCAACTCACCCTCCCTCTCTCTCCAGGCGACGACACCCCCACACCCAAGGAGATCCATCGACGACGACAGCACCACCACCATTACCGTGCTAACTCTCTCTCTTTCTCTCTTCCTCTTCACTTTTGTAGAGCACAAAGAACCTCGGCAAATCCCTAGACTTTTGAGTAAGATTCTGGCCATCTCCAGCCATTCCTCAACGATCCAAAAGTAAGAAACCCTTCCTCTCACCTCCACCTTCAATTTCATAGTTAAATCGTAGGGTAAGGTGGAGTTTTGGCGTCGACCGAAGCATGGAAGGCTCCAGCCTCTTTCCCCAGCGAAAAACCAACCCAAGCCTTCGGGCCTAGAACCTTTGGGCTGGGCTTCCAAGCCCAAGGCTTGTGAAACCCCGAGCCCAAACGCTTTCGTAACCTAAACCAAAAGCCTTGCTAGTTTAGGCCTTTAGGCCATATAGGACTCGGGCCTTAGGCCCGTTAACCCCAAACCCAAACCCATTTAGTTTTAATTATTTTATTTATTTTCTTTTAAAACCCAAAAACACTTGGGCAGGGCTTTCAAGCCAAGGCCTTTTGACCCAAAACCCTTGGACCCTAGGCCTTTGGGCCTTAGAACCTAGCCCAGTTGTGAAGCCCAGGCCCACCGAACCTAAGCCTAAGCCCAATCCGGCCCAACCCAAAGAACCTAGGAACCCCAAGCGCGTAGACCTATGCGTGAAGGGTCATCGATGCCGACGTGTGAAGCTCACAGGCCATTGTCCAAGGCGACGCCATCAAATTTTTCGACCACCCATAGCAGTGCTGTGGGGCGACACATGACCATACCCGAGGTCCCTTTTTATGTTTTTCGACATCTTGAACCAGTTTATGACGTCTGTTTTTCGAAATTCAATCGTTTGAGTATAGTTTTGTTAATTGTACCCTATATGTGCCTAGGTGCAATTATTAGCAGCGATTCCGTCATTCTTTTTTTGTACGGCTCTTCAACGACAGAGTATCTTTGAGTGGACCCCTTCTAAAATGCATGTTTTAATGGTAGAAATGCATACATGAAAAGCATAATTTAATGATTACGTTTTATCAAATGTTTTACGAGATATTATGCTTACTGAGAATATTTTGATATGTCATATTTTATCGAATTGATGTTCTTTGTAGTATACATGATGGATGACTATATACTATTTATGAACATGCTTTTACACACTTCTTTGTAGTATATATGATGGATGACTATATGCTATGAAGATGTTTTGAGATATATGTACCTATGTTTGGAAAGACTATGTTAAATGATTTTGTGTGTATCTAGTGGTCACTGTTCGGCCTACAGGCAAGGGAGATATATGTTGATGGCTTTGGGCCGAGAGATATATGTATTGGTTTCGGGCCGAGAAATATTGATAGTAATACCACTAGTTTGCACACTATATACGGGATATGTTTCATGAAAGGTTTTATGGCATGCTAGGGTTTTTGGAAAACCTATTACTTATTATGCTATATGTTTTCATAAAACTTTGGGGGTTAGTATGTTGATTAACTGTTTCAGTATTATATATATATATATATATATATATATATATATCAACTTGGACCACTCATGTTTGTTTTGCGTCCCCTCATGACATAAAAAGGAGGATTACGACCTGAGCTACAAGGCATTCCTTTACTAATGACATCGTGCCATCTCTTCTGCTTTGACATCATTGTAATAGTACCTTCCACTTGTATTCTGAATTAGAATATGCTCTGATCTTTTCATTGTTGGCAGTTGAATATTATTTTATTATATTAGTATTTCCACCGAAATTTATATGCATGTTTCACATGTTCTCAGCATTTGCATTCATAAATGGCTTGCGTCACCTTCGGGTACGTGACCATCCCGATGTCCGTGGGACATCGAGATTGGGGCGTATCATGTGGGGATATCGGGGTTAGGGCGTGTCACTTCTAGTGTTCATCTATAGTAGTGCAATTATTGATCTCTTACCTATTGCTTAAGTCTCATAATATTTCTTACTAACTTAACTGTCTGAGAGCCTTTAGCCAGCACCTCCAATCCTTGGCTGTTTATGGTTTTTTGTTATTTTACAGGCTAAACGACTTTGTGCATTTCCTCACACACGGTGTTTAGCGAATTTGGTTCCAACAATTGGTGCTTTCATTGAGAGTTGAACTCAAGATCTTCCTGACCAAATCACTCTACTACCACAACCATGACTGGTGAAGAAAGTTCAGTTAATGCTAATGTTAACACAGTAATGGGAAACAATCCACTCACCGACGCATCCCTCACCCTGCCGAGAAAACCGCTTCATGACATCTTCATTGCTCTTGGTAGGGGTAACCAAACCCTGATGCTACAACCATCCCAGGAAATGATGAAGCTCCTGCAACTGGACTCCCTCCCACTATGGGTCATATTTAGGAGACTTTGTTAAAAATCAACACTTCAGTTGATAAACTATAGAAGACCCACACGTGTTCTCGGTAAAAAAAACCAAGCAAACTTCGCAAACATAAAAAAATGGATGAATGGTCTAGAAATTTCCAATGGGACCACTCCTACGAGACACCAAGGCCTTGGACACTGCATGACCACATTGAATGGAGCCTCGTCATTTGAATTTCGATCACCAGGAATCTTGATAAGAACAAGAACAGCGCGTGCCGCATGTATTCACACTTCTTAAAATTTCCCACAATCTAGGGATTTAGAGTGCAGCGCATGTAACCACATTTTTTAAGAGGATGTAATATCTACTATTGAATATCCACTGGGATTCTCCCGATTTGACATGGATTCTATATCTTAAAAAGACTCTATCTCGACTATTATAAATACATACTTTTAGGGTTCATCTCTAATAACATAATTATCGCATATACCTTATTCTCTTACTTATTGCTTGACTCTCAAATGTTGCCTACTAACTTGATGGTCGGAGGCCTTTGGCCGGCACCTTTTCGGTTTCCATACTTTTTCTCCTTCCATCAATTTTAAACCAATTTTTATGTAAGTTTTCTTTATTGTTTTATTTTCTTATAATTATCCACACACAATGTGTGAGCTCTATCTGATAATATGAATAATAATAAAATATCGTGCTCGCTTGCATAAATATCAATGATCATTTGTAATAAAAATTCTTGCGTAAATAATTAAAAATCAAACTAAATGTCATATCAGATTCATCCATCAAATCTTGTGTTAAATATGTGATTATCCGCTGCAAAAAAATTGTGCAAAGAAAAGCATTTGTTAATTTACAAAACTAAAGGATCATATGCAATGACGTCGATATAGGGGCCGCGGTTTAAGTTTTGTAGGTCTAGGGTATGCGTCTTTTGATTAAATTTCGGTTTTTAATGTTGCTAGTGAAAAAATAATTGTATGCACAGAAGTGGGGAATGATGTATTATATGTTTTTATAAATGATGAAATTGTATTTTAACTATTTAAATAATAAGTGAGAAATTCGAACTTTTATGCATGCATATATAGGGAGAGTACATCTATTTTAACCAATATGACCATGTTTGCGGGAATGATGCAGATTCGAATATAAGGAAATATTTGCATAACAAATACAAAGGATCGTGACAATCAATACGATAGGATACGATTTGGCAGACTAGGTTATGATCATATGTGAGTCTAATTAAAATGGAATTGAAATGGAAAATTTATTCATGGATTTATGGCTTTTGGAAGACAAGAATAAAAGGAAAGATTTCAAACAATAGTTGTAATCTGACCTTCTTGGTGATGGTACAGTTGCCAAACCAAAATTTATTACACTATGAATTGCATTAGACCTTTGGATTTGGCTCATCCTGTATGGAAATAAATTAATTTTCATGTCCATGGAAATTGTGGTCGAGGAATAAAATTGATTCCAAAATATCCAACGTTGAAGGAAGCAAAATCTGGATGTTAATGCACACAAGATTTTTGTGGTCCTTCATCCAACTATAAAGTACTCGTCACTGGTTACAATTATCATCATCAAAACAGAAACAATGGCAAAGCACGGAGCTCTCCTGTTTTCTTATGCTTTCTCCATTATTCTGTTGCTCACTTTGAGTTTACCGTCTGAAGCCGCTGATCAGGAAGAAAGAAAGACGTATATTATCTACTTGGGATCACTTCCTAAGGATGAGCTGTTCTCGCCATTGTCTCACCACATTGGTATTCTCGAAGGAGTTACCGAAAGCAGCTCTGCTTCGAATCTCTTGGTCAGAAGCTACAAAAAAAGCTTCAACGGATTCGCTGCAAAGCTCACTGACCGAGAAGGAGAAAAGCTTGCTAAGATGAAGGAAGTTGTCTCTGTGTTTCCGAGCAAAACTTACAAACTCCAAACAACAAGATCCTGGGAATTCTTGGGCTTCAATGAGAAGCACAAACGAAATCCTACTGTCGAGAGCAATGTTATTATTGGTGTCATCGATGCTGGGATATGGCCTGAATCTAAAAGTTTTAGCGATGAAGGTTTTGGTCCAGCTCCAAAGAAGTGGAAAGGAGTTTGCAAAGGAGGCAAAAATTTCACTTGCAACAACAAGATCATTGGAGCTCGGTTTTACACTGATTCCTCAGCTAGAGATGAGAATGGTCATGGAACTCATACTGCCTCGACCTGCAGCAGGAAATCCGGTAAAGGGTGTGAGCTTTTATGGACTGGGGGAGGGAACTGCAAGAGGAGGCGTTCCCTCTGCGAGGATTGCTGCATATAAAGTTTGCAATTCTAAAGGTTGCTCTTCAGAAGGGCTCTTGGGTGCTTTTGATGACGCTATTCATGATGGAGTTGACATCATTACAATTTCAATTGGAGCCGAAACTGCAGCCCCTTTGGATCAGGATCCTATAGCAATCGGTGCTCTTCATGCAATTGAGAAAGGGATACTAACCTTGCAATCCGCAGGAAATAGTGGCCCTGACGGAGGTTCTGTATCAAGTGTAGCACCATGGATTCTTGCAGTTGCAGCAAGTAGCACAGATCGTCGCATTATTGACAAGGTTATTCTTGGAAACAGGACGCTTGTCGGTAGTTCAGTGAATGCTTTCAAATTAAATGGAACAAGTTTTCCGTTGATAGAAGGCAAAGATGCAGGTCAATGCTTGGATTGTGAATTAGGTTGCATGGACCCTAATTTAGCTAAGGGAAAGATTGTGGTATGTTCTGATCCTAGGGGCAGTATTGAAGCTCATCGAGTCGGCGCAATAGGTGCGCTAACTAGCACTACCAAACCCGATGTTTCTTTCATTGTCCCACTACCTGCAGCAAGTTTTGGCAGTATAGATTTTGGCGCCGTCGAGTCATATCTCAGCTCCACAGCCAACCCTCGAGCAAAGATACTAAAAAGTGAAGTCATAAAAGATCTTGCTGCACCTACTATCGCTTCCTTCTCTTCACGCGGGCCTAATTCTATTTTACCTGAAATTATCAAGCCGGACATAACTGCCCCGGGGGTTGATATTTTGGCTGCATATTCACCTGTTGCTCCTCTCACAGAGAGCTCTGAAGACCAGAGGCATGTAAAATACAGTATCTTATCTGGAACCTCCATGTCTTGCCCGCATGCTGCTGGTGTCGCTGCGTATATCAAGACATTCCACCCCAACTGGTCTCCATCTGCTATCAAATCATCTATTCTTACTACAGCTGGGCCTGTGAATGGCACCAACAATTCCACCTCACCGGGCGAATTTTCGTATGGATCTGGGCATATCAATCCTATAAAGGCTGTAAATCCGGGGCTTGTGTACGAAACTTCTAAGAATGATTACATTAAGTTGCTATGCTCTATCTTGGATGAGTCCAAAGTTCGACTTATTTCTGGAGACAAAGGCCCTTGCTCTGCAAGTACTGGCAATAAGTCGGCCAAGGATCTCAACTACCCTTCGCTGGCAGGTAATGTTTCTCCGGGAACTTCATTTTCGATTAAGTTTCCAAGAACAGTAAAAAATGTTGGCGTTGCAAACTCCACATACAAGGCAAAGATCATCTCAAAGCTGGGAGTTAACATCAAGGTGGCGCCTCAAGTTCTTTCCTTCAAGTCTTTGAATGAGAAAAAGACCTTTAATGTGACAGTTTCTGGAAGAGGTATGCCATATGGTTCGTATGTATCCGCGTCATTGGTGTGGACGGATGGCACTCACAGCGTTCGAAGTCCAATTCTTGTAACCAGCTTCTCGGCTTGATCATGAATTCATCAATGGGCCTTCATTGCTGCAAATAAAACGTATTTAGTGATTGTATATCTTTCCATTCTTCATTCTGTTTAAGTTGTTGAAATATATATGGCCAGAGTTTTGAGCACCATGTCTTGAAAATCTGTTTGTAATATATAATTTCTCATTTGTGGAGCTCCTTGTTTAGCTACTTTTAAAAATTCTAACAAGTGTTCTTCTACTGTTATTGGACGTTCTGAAACATCCACACATGGTAGCATAAGTGCATTTGTTCTTGTTTACTTATTTCCGGTGTACAATCAAGCATAATTCTCTCATCACTGGACACCAAGATTTTATTTTGAAAGGATCTTGAAAATCAATAGGTGAAGATTTGGGGTCCAATTAAAATGGAATTGAATAGTAGATTCGCTAATTTCATTGAGTTGAGATCACAATCTTTGTTACATTATCTTTCACTGGGCATCAAAATTTCTGAACGCATTTTTTGTCCCTTTAAACCTTTTATTTTAGACGAAAATTCTAACAGAGTTAGTCAAAAAGACCATTAAGGCATGGGTTTGGGATGCGTCTCCCTGCACCTAAACCCTTAATTTTATTTATTTTATGTTTTATTTTTTATTTTTGTTAAATTTTTGTTTTTCTCATACTGTAACTCCAAACTATCATCTTCATACAAAATATATATTCGGTGAAAGTTTTCTTATAATCTATCAAAAAATTCGAAACAAGGATATAAATCTAAATCTTTGGGTATTTTGAATCTAAATAAAGTAAAGTTGGAAAAAAAAAAGAACTAATGGGGAAAGAAAAAAAAAAAAAAAAAAAAAAAAGGAGAAATGTTTTTTAAAAAAATAGAAAAGAGTACAATCGGTACTTTTTTAACGATTATCCTTGAAGAGAGTAACTAAAAAACTAGCGACTATTCCCATTCAGTCGCTAGTTTCATACCGATCCCATCTTTTCAATTTTTTTCCTTCCTTATTTCTTTTATTTCTCTTACAATAACAACAAATTATTATATTGATGTTCTTCAAATATATTTTCCGTGCAAAATCTATTATAATTCATAGTTTAACATTTGAAATCAACGATTTAAACCATAAATTTAAAGATATTTTTCTATTTTCAACTTTAAAAATCAATAAAAAATAGTTTTAGGACCTAATAAATGGTAGGATCACATCCAAAAGGTCTTGTAATATTTCCTTAACTCCGACATAAAATATTTCATAAAGCTAAAAATTTCAATTTTTTCACAAAAACTATGAGTTTAACCCCCAATTTTCTAATCAATTTTGAGAACTTTTACAACATTTATTATAAGCCAAAGTTAGAGTCATTCTACTCCACCACATGTTTCCTAAAATTAATTTAGGACATTCCCAAGATTTCGAACACCTACAATTTTTTGGGGGCCCATTATGTAACATCTCATATCGTCCAGGGGAGTGGATCCTGTAAGCCTTATATGTATATTCTCATCTCTACCTATCACGAGGCCTTTTGGGAGCTCACTGGCTTCGGGTTCCATCGGAACTCCGAAGTTAAGCGAGTTCGTGCGAGAGCAATCCCAGGATGGGTGACCCACTAGGAAGTTCTCGTGTGAGTTTCCAGAAACAAAACCGTGAGGGTGTGGTCGGGGCCCAAAGCGAACAATATCGTGCTACGGTGGAGTCGAGCCCGGGATGTGACAATTTGGTATCAGAGCCAATCCCTAGCCGAGCGTGCCCACGAGAACGTTGAGCCCCTAAGGGGGGTGGATTGTAACATCCCACATCGCCCAGGGGAGTGGATCCTATAAGCCTTATATTCCCATCTCTACCTAGCACGAGGCTTTTTGGGAGCTCACTGGCTTCGGGTTTCATCGGAAGTCTGAAATTAAGCTAGTTCGTACAAGAGCAATCCTAGGATGGGTGACCCACTGGGAAGTTCTCGTGTGAGTTCCCATAAACAAAACCATGAGGGTGTGGTCGGGGCCCAAAGCGGACAATATCGTGCTATGGTAGAGTCGAGCATGCCCTCACAGTTTTGTTTCTGGGAACTCACATGAGAACTTCCCAGTAGGTCACTCATCATGGGATTGGCTTCAGAGTTCATCGGAACTCCGAAGTTAAGCGAGTAGCACGCGAGAGTAATCCCATGATGGGTGACCCATTGGGAAGTTCTTGTGTGAGTTCCCAAAAGATCTCGTGCTAGGTAGGAATGAGAATATACATATAAGGATCACTCCCCTAGGTGATGTGGGATCTTACAATCCACCCCCCTTAGGGGCCCGATGTCTTCGTCAGCACACCACCACCAAGGTTAGGCTCTGATACCAAATTGTCACATCCTAGGCCCGCTCCACCACCGTAGCACGATATTATCCACTTTGGGCCCCGATCACGCCCTCACGGTTTTGTTTCTGGGAACTCACACAAGAACTTCCCAGTGGGTCACCCATCATGGGATTGCTCTCGCGCACTACTCACTTAACTTCGGAGTTCCAATGAACTCTGAAGCCAGTGAGTTCCCAAAAGGCCTCGTGCTAGGTAGGGATGAGAATATACATATAAGGATCACTCCCCTGGGGGATGTCCCCTTGTCCCCGTTTCTATTTTTAATTTGTGCTGAGGGGTTTTGGGCTTTATTACGTAGACGGGAGGAACAGGGATCCTTACATGTGGTGCGAGTAGCACCTAGTGCAATGCCTATATCGCATTTATTTTTTTGCAGACGATGCGGTTATTTTTTGTAAGGCTTAGGAGGATGAGGTTCAGAAGGTGATGGCAGTGTTACAGTGTTATGCAGAAGCATCCGGACATGTTATTAATCAAGAGAAAAGTTCTTTTTATTTTGGGGCGCAGTGTTTGCGGCAGCTACGGAGGAAAATTATCACCTGTGCTAACATTCCACATTGACCAACAAAGAGGGGGTGATGTTGTTGTTGTTGTTGTTGTTATTGTTATTATTATTATTTTTTTTTTTTTTTTTTTTTATGTTGCGTGGTTTCGGCGCAAATTTTATATGCATGTTTTACATGTTCTCGACATATGCATAATTAAATGGATTATTATTATTATTTTTTTTTTTTATGTTGCGTGGTTTCGGCGCAAATTTTATATGCATGTTTTACATGTTCTCGACATTTGCATAATTAAATGGGCTTCGTCACCCTTGAGTGTTGGCCAACACATGGCCATCCTGTTGTGTAACATTCCACATCGACCAACAGAGAGGAGGTCATGTGCCTTATATGTACATACTTCCCTTCCTATAGCACGATGCCTTTTGGGAACTCACTAGCTTCAGGTTCCATCGGAACTCTGAAGTTAAGCGAGTTCGGACGAGAGCAATCCCAGGATGGGTGACTCATTGGGAAGTTCTCGTGTGAGTTCCCAAAAACAAAACCGTAAGGGTATGGCCAGGGTCCAAAGTGGACAATATCGTGCTACTGCGGAGTCGAGACTGAGATGTGATAGAATGGTATCAGAGTCATTCTGCTGTGTGGTGCGAGTATGCTGACGAGGATGTCGGGCCCCTAAGGGGGTGGATTGTAACATCCCACATCGACCAACAGAGAGGGGGTGATGTGTCTTATATGTACATACTTCCCTCCCTATAGCACGAAGTCTTTTAGGAACTCACTGGCTTCGGGTTCCATTGAAACTTCTAAGTTAAGCGATTTCGAACGAGAACAATCCCAGGATGACTGACTCACTGGGAAGTTCTCATGTGAGTTCCCAGAAACAAAACCATGAGGGCGTGGTCGGGGCCCAAAACGGACAATATTGTGCTACGATGGTGGAACGGGCTCGGGATGTGGTGGACCCCGGACCGGGATGTGACATGGGGTCCCCTTGCCGCAACCCTCTCTGAGGTTGAATAAACCCAGTGGACACTCCATTAATTAAAACGCTATTGGACATCGTAGTAATACACTATGCAACACGCTGACAAAACTCCGGTGGAAACCCTATAGCATTCATCATTGACAATAAAAAACTCCATTCTACACGATCATAAGCCTTTGTCATGTCTAACTTCATTGCCAACGAGACCTCCTCATCTTCATGTGGGTGATTAAGAGAATGCAACACCTCATGCACCACCAAAATATTATCCTGATCTGTCTCCCAGCCACAAATGCCGATTGGTTTTGACTAATGAGCTGCGGCATAGCGATCTTCATCCGGTTCGTCAGCAGTTTGGCAATCAGTTTGTAAACCACATTACATAACGATATCGGTCTTAACTGGGTCATCTTCCTCGGACTAGGTACTTTAGGAATTAGCACCAAATGAGTGTGATTCAATTTCCGTAAAAGCCTCCCAGAGAACCAGAACGCTTGTGCTTCGAATCTCTTGGTAAGAAGCTACAAAAGAAGCTTCAACGGATTCGCTGCCAAGTTCACTGACGGAGAAAGAGAAAGGCTTGCTAACATGAAGGGAGTTGTCTCTGTGTTTCCGCGCACAATTTACCACCTTCAAGCAACAAGATCTTGGGACTTCATCGGACTCAATGAGACGATCAAACGAAACCCTACTGTCCAAAGTGATGTTGTTATTGGTGTGATAGACGGTGGAATCTGGCCTGAATCGGAGAGCTTTAAAGACGAAGGTTTGGTCCAGCTTCCAAGAAGTGGAAAGGTGTTTGCAAAGGTGGCAATAATTTCACTTGCAACAACAAGCTCACTCGAGCTCGGTCTTATATTGATTCTACGGCTAGAGATGAGATTGGTCATGGGACTCATACTGCTTCAACCGCAGCAGGTAACCCCGTAAAGGGTGTGAGCTTTTATGGACTAGGGCAAGGGACTGCAAGAGGAGGAGTTCCCTCTGCGAGAATTGCTGCATATAAAGTTTGCGGTTCTCAAGGGTGCACTTCAGATGGGATCTTGGCTGCTTTTGATGACGCCATTGGCGACGGAGTTGACATAATCACAATTTCAATTGGAGGCGACTATGGAGTGCCTTTTGAGAACGATCCTGTTGCAATCGGTGCTTTTCATGCAATGGAGAAAGGGATACTTACCTCAAACTCTGCAGGCAATAACGGTGCTGTAGAGACTTCTATAGCAAGTGTAGCACCATGGATTCTTACAGTTGCAGCAAGTAGCACTGATCGTCGGATAATTGACAAGGTTGTTCTTGGAAATGGAAGGACGCTTGTCGGAAGTTCAGTGAATGCTTTCAAATTAAATGGAGCAAGTTTTCCTTTGATAGAAGGAAAAAATGTTTCAAGTCAATGCTGGGATTGTAACGTAGGCTGCCTGAACCCTAATTTTGTTAGGGAAAGATTTTGTTATGTACGTCTTCGTTCTGTTGCTAATATTGTGGCTCATGAAGCCAGTGAACCCGAACCCGATGCTGCTTTCATTGTCCCGCTACCTGCAGCAACTATTAGCAGAAAAGATTATGAAGTGGTGCAATCCTACCTCAACTCCACAAACAAACCTCAAGCGAAGATACTAAAAAGTGAAGTCATAAACGATCTCGCTGCACCTACTGTTGCTTCCTTCTCTTCACGAGGGCTCAATAATATTTTACGTGATATTATCAAGCCGGACATAACTGCCCGGGGGTTGATATTTTGGCTGCATTTTCACCTGTTGCTTCTCTGACAGATAGCTCTGAAGACCATAGGCATGTAAAATACAGTATACTATCTGGAACCTCCATGTCTTGCCCGCACGCTTGCTTCTCTGACAGATAGGTCGGAAGACCATAGGCATGTAAAATACAGTATACTATCAGGAACCTCCATGTCTTGCCCGCAAGCTGCTGGTGTCGCTGCGTATATCAAGACATTCCACCCCAACTGGTCTCCAGCAGCCATCAAATCATCTATCATGACTACGGCTGGACCTGTGAATGGCACCAACAATTCCACCTCACCTGGTGTATTTTCATATGGTTCTGGGTATATCAATCGTCTAAAAGCTTTAAATCCGGGGCTTGTGTACGAAACTTCTAAGGATGATTACATTAAGTTGCTCTGCTCGATCTTGCATGAGGACAGTGTCCGACTTATATCAGGAGATGAACACCCTTGCTCTGCAACTGGCAACAAATTGGCCAAGGATCTCAACTACCCTTCAATGGCTGGTAACGTTGTAGCGGGGACTTCTTCGTTTTGGATTTCGTTTCAAAAAGCAGTTACAAATGTTGGCCTTGTGAACTCCACATACAAGGCAAAGATCATCTCAAAGCCGGGAGTTAACATCAAGGTGGTGCCTCAAGTTCTTTCCTTCAAGTCCTTGAATGAGGAAAAGACCTTCAACGTGACAGTTTCCAGAAGAGGTATACCATATGGATCACACATATCTGCATCGCTGGTGTAGACGGATGGTACTCACAGCGTTCGAAGTCCAATTCTTGTAAGCAGCCATTACGCTTGATCTGAATTTCATCCATGGGGCTTCGTTGTTACAAATAAAAACATCTTTTCTGATTGTATTTCATCCGTTATACACTCTAGATTTTTAAGCGGTGTCCTTCTGAATTGCTGAGATTTCTCTACTCTATCTTGATGGTTGTTTGAAGAGAAACTAACGTCTAGCCAAGGTAGTGTGCTCGCCCTTGCACACAAGTTCGTATCCCTCTTTACTTGGATCAAAACATCGTCTTGTCAAAATAAAAAGTATTGCCTATATATTATTTCCAACATTCGTTTGCTCTCTGGTTTCCCAGGAGCTGGAGGGTTTAATTTGTAGAAGTCTTTAGGAAAATTAAGAAGGGTAAAGGAAATATGTTAGGTGAGAGGATAGTTCTGTGCCTACAAGTAGGAATGTGCTTAGATTAGCAACAAAGTTTCATCATTTTGTTGGAGAATGACATCCAACATCAATTTTTACTTTCTACACACACCTCTTAATTGTGGGCCTCGATTCTCTTCTGATATGTTCAGTCCAATGCCTTGAAAAGAGGGACGGTGTGCAGATATCCAAAGTAGTACGTCTCGTAACTTGAGTGCTTAGTTCTTAAAAGAAGATTACCAAATACCAGAACAATGATAAAATCCCAAATCTTGATTTGCTAAATTTAAGTCAAGTAGATGTCGATTCATGAATTTCCAAATTTCCCAAACTGGACAATGTTTAAAAAGTTCCATCCAGAATAAAAAAGAACCAAAAAAAAAAAAATCAAATCCATCTGCGTACCATGAAGTGAAAACCTAGCTAAAATTTTTATCCACAGATTAGAAAGCAAAAAACTACAGCAACATACAACCAAGACTCGCTTGACAGAGCTATCGATATAATGACTTCTACAGTATAACATACATACATCTCTCGTGGTGAGTTGCAAACCTCGGCATCATAAAGGTCACATAATTTCATTTCCTTCTAACTTTCTAGGCCAATGCGGGCTATTGATTAAGAGGCACACATTCAAGCTCGATCTCCAGTATACCCCTCTCAACATTCTGCAGCCTGAGAGTGATCTGCTGTCTCACTCTCCCGTCTACTAGGTTGATGACACCATCTTTTACAAGTGTATTTTCTTTGCTGGCTACCCACTTTCCAAGCTGCATCGGCTCATTGATTGAGGACTTCTCATATGCTATGGCAGCACTCACCAAAGGTTGAATGTCAATCTCAGCCTCACCCATAAAATCATCAGCTTTGAACGTATCCTTGTCATATACCAGCTGAATGTAACGATAGAAACATTACTAGAAAACTTTATCGAAGACAGAGATGTAAAGCATAAACATCTTCATCGAACTAAGGGAATGCTTGTATATGACTATAGATTATGCCCATATAACAATGATAAATCAAGTAAAAAACAAAAGCAGAGAATCATTATCAGTTTCTTACGGTAGGCTATGAGTTTTACACACTTTCCTGTAATTTAGAGGAAATTGCATGCACTGGGGGATTCAATCAACCGTCCCAAACTAAAGGGTAAAAGAGTTTCAAATATTTGTTAAACGCTTCCTTTGACATTAGTGCTCAATAAACGATTAATTTCTGTACGCACACTGTAGGAGAACAAATCCACTGGATTTCTTCACTCATTTTCAGTTTATCAACTGTAATACCAGAAAATGTTATCCTGTTAAAAACTTCACAAATCTGAGCAACTAATGACCTACGTTATCAACATAGGCCAAATGGTCCTGATGATGCACAAAATTGCGTCTGCATAACTTACTGCTTAAAACACAAACAAAAATATAAAACAGGTCACTGCACAATGAAGAGAGCACATCTTTAGCATCCATACGTAATTAACCATCTTGCATTAAATAGCAATCTCAACACGATACACATGAAATTGCAGATATTATAATACGCAGTTTGAATTTCAATGTAACACACAGTGCATTGCGGACTTGATGTCATAGTATTTTCACAGGAACCGAGTAAAACTTACCACTTTTAGAGGAGGTATGTGATCAGGAATTGACAGCATCAGGCTCTCATTCCATACTGGATTAAGGTTGTTCTTTATGACACGGGTCTTCACCGACTGCAACAAATATATAGGGAAAACTGCATTTTAAGTTTATTGACTATGTTGAATTCATTTCATAAATAATAGCTTAAGTAGAAGAAACTTACTTGGTGACCCAATGCAAGGATGACGTAAGGGTCACTTGTCACCATATCCCGTACAACTAGGTTGGTTCCTCTAACCACATTCACCTTAATTAGTCCAACAAATTCGACCATACCTGCCTATAACGTACGCATTAAGCAGTGAGATTCTACCCATACCAACAAAAATTTCAAATTTATTCAACCTACTTTATTTTATCCTTTGTGGTTGTCATGAGTTAAAACTATGGCACAACTATTTCTGGTTCGCATTTCAAAAAGAACTATCTTTTTTTTTCAAATAATGAAAACATAGGCATGGTAATGTAGAATAGACCCTCGCTCCAAAGGGACTAAGGGTATAAAAACAATTCAGAAATAACAAGATAAAACAACACAGTAAACAAACAGAAAGGCCATTACCATCGGCATTGAGTAGCCCTTCTTTGCGGTCTTATGTTCAGAGTCTTTTCTTCCCCAGCTGTTACGAAATGCCTGACCAATACGGTGTTTCGTTGGTTGTTTCTCATACTGTTTCTTATCTTGGGTAGAACTAACAGTTGAATTGCTTGATTTCTTATTAGGTGGGAAAGGACATGACATCTGTTCATCAGAGTTCAAGAAGTCTAGCTGCTCATATTTTCTCCTGCATATTCAAGAAGTAAATCTCAGAATTAGAATCGTATAGGTTTGAAAACAAAGTAATGAAAAAAATCTGTACTTGAACTACCTAATAAAATAAAAGCGCTCCTCTATAGAAGAATCTGGTTTTGGTTTGCTGACATTTTCCGGCAAGTGAGCCTCGTACTTCTTGTTTACAGTAGTATTTCCTCCCATACTTGCCAAGATCTCAACTTCATCATCTGTCCATTCATCTAGCTTCACTGATACAACCTATCATATGTCCAGATCAGATTAGAATATCCAAATTCCAATACTCAAACTTCTGTGTCATACAATTTTTGGGTAAATCCTGAACAAGGTTGCATAATCCACACCTTCGAAATATGCACTCCAAGGCTTCTATGTACACCAGAACACTTTATACAAATAAATACTCCGAACGTTAAAGATCTGATATGAACGAATTGGTACAGTCAAAATACAATGTAAGCAACAAAAACAGTCATAACTTACGTAAATCTAAGAAGAGGTGGTTGATGCAAAAATTCTAAATATGAAGTTATTTCATTTACTAGTCATCAATATCATGTTGAAAAACATCAAATAATTGTGCGCATGGTCAGTATTATGCAACCCTGAAAACCTACAGTTTCTTGTTGTAACATCGAACTCATAAGTTGTGAAAAACTCATAGTCAAATTATTGAGCAAAAGATAATCAATATTACCAACAATTGTAAGATCAATCATCAAATTCACAACTACTACTCATTAAGCATCATTCTCTAAAAATGTGTCATTACTCATTACTCATATCACAAATTTTGCTTCAATCCACCTCTGTGCAGGACCCACTCTCAAACCGTGAACATGTATGAAATTTGCACCGTCCACATTGTGATATATACTTAACTCAAAATTGAGCTAAATAGGATGAAAAGAAGATTGTAAAAGATATTAACATAATTAACGGTGAACAGAAAAAAGACAAGGTAAGATAATAAAACAAGTTCTATTAGGTTGGAATAACTTCATATAACTTTCGCTTCAGTTTTATTAAAATTGGAGAAGGATTGATGTCAAAACTTTCTCTTCATGAAAATATGATACTCACACCCATTTTGGATCTAGAGCTCCACAATCTGCACAGGACCTGTTGGCAGATTGATGCAACAAAATCTCCAGCCTTTCTTGTGGACCTGTTCATTGAACTATAGAAGTTACAAAATATAGGATGTGCTCTTATTAGAATATCACAGGGAGACCACAACAAACAAAGGAAAAACACCCGGAAAATAATGCTTATATCAGACAGACTAGAGAGCTCGGTAATGCAGAACTCATTTTTTGGGATTTAATTCAATTGGTACATGATTTTTAGATATTTATAATCCCACCTTGGGTTCTCTGGACGTATCCCCCACATTCCCACTAACACTTTTTACATCGTAAACCTTCTATTTGAACTTCATGTTGACACTTTCATTTGACCAATCTCCATGAAGGTAAACTAGAGGCAAGGCAACAAGATCAAGTGGAGGTATTGGATCTTCCATAAGCTATCTATATACTATATCTATATGTCATTTTTTTCAATTATACTGATCCATGGGAAAGATTTGACATGTTTCTTGGAGCAACTCATGTTGTTTACAAAAACATCTTCAAATGGATTGAGTGAATTGTGACACGCCGCTAATAGCTAACTACAGCATGTCAAGACGAGGAAAATATTGGCAAAGTCAGAACACAAACAGATTCCTAAACAAGTATTTGATGTAAAGAGTAAAAAGTACCAGATAATGTACGTCGATCACTAGGGCATCTCCAAACCGGTGTGTCTGAACATAAGAGATCATAGAGGCAAGAACCTGAGCCTACAAATGAAACATATTCTTTCATTAATGAACCCCGGTATAATTCATTTGTGCAACACAGTGCAATAAATTCATCAAGTTTTGTATCGTAGAAATGTTGATATCAACAACTGCTGACATTAAGAAAATCAAAACCATATATAAGCGTCAAGATGCTGAGGAATAGAAGCAAATTTTCCCAAATAAGATGTTGACCTTACCGAAACCAACTGTTTCATTCAAGAAAAATTATCCTAAAGTTACTTTTCTTTAACAATTACAGTTGAAATCACTCAAGTGATCATTAAAATTTAAACACATAAATCCTCTTCAACCTTACACACATTCTCCTCTTTAGGAGCATGAATCATGTTATTCCCTTCCAACTAATTCAATTTTTATGAAAGCAATAAACGAATTTACAGGACAAATCTTCTCAAATATTAAAAATCATTCCAAAAATAAAATTTGAGGACAAGCCTTGGCGCAATGCTCCTTGGTAACCGAAGGGTCACAAGTTCAAAGTAGTGGAAATGACCTCTTTGCAAAGCAAAGGTAAAGTTGCGTACAATAGACATTTCCCAACCCTCGCAAAGCAGGGAGCCTTGTTGGCTTAGGGTCGCTCTTTTATTCCAAAAATAAAATTTATACCTGAGACTTTGTTGGGAACAGAATTATCTTGCTGGGTAGACATCTCCATCCTCCAATGATTCAGACCCAAATCATGAAAAAGTGCTACCTTCTGAGGACACCCATTTAATCAATCAGCAGTTCCTCTGCATCCAATTCCACATTAAATTAAAAATATATCCATTTAATAAAAAAACTAAAGGAAAAATTAAAACAGATAATGAAATAAATAATTCAAATTAGTTCTTACAGATTGAAATATAGGGCAGCAAAGGAACAGTAGAATATGTTTTAATCTGAAACAAAAAGGGGTTCTTTTCAATTTCTTCCCTGCATCAAACACAGCCAAGTTAGACAAATTGGTAGATCATTAAAATACATATTTCATAAACAATCCACCAAACAAAATCTACCCAGACGGGTTCTCACAGATTGAGAGAAATCCTTGACATTAAACAGTTGAAGCTCAAAACTTTGGCATATTGGAGGGAAAACACAGGAGAAATGGGGGAAGAAATGGGGGGGAGGCCAAGAATGTGAAGAACAATAATTTTTTTGGTGGAATTTGGGAAGAAGCCAAAGCAGAGATTCAGGGTAAGAGGATAGAAACTATGATCTGCATGTGGCTATGTCATATTTTTCTCAATCCTTTTATTTTCTCTCTTTAATTTTGTATAATAATAATAACTACATTTCAAAGATACAGGTTTCTGTTTTTGTTTTTTTGGTTTTTTTCCTCTTGGTAAATCAGACACACTTATTTTTTCTGTGAGAATGGACCCTCTATATAGTCCATGGAAAACACATAAATTCAGAGTTTGGCGTATCTTCTACCAAAAAGAAATAAAATAAAAATAAATAGTCACTTAGCAAAAAGAAAATCAAGCATTGTTCAAAAAAAAAAAAAAAAAAAAAAAAAGTCTAGGGAATGAAGCATTTCGTGGTAGTTGGGTGGTTGATTATCCATTCAAGAAGCATTCAAACGTGTTTATGTTTAGTCTTACCAAAAACAAGATATGAAGTCTCATACCATAAATAAAGAAAAAAATAAATGAAACAACACGTCTAGGATAAAGACCGATTCACCAACTCCTCGAGATATTTTTTTAGTGTGCAGAGAATACGGTCCAATAACACTAAATATAACAATATAAGTGGTTAATCAATTATATTATTACACTTAGGGGTGGTTCGGTATGGGATCCCATACCGAAACCCTTGTCCCGAGTCCCAAACCGAAATTTTCGGGAATCCCAAATTCAATACCAATCCCAAACCAAATTTTCGGGAATCCCAATTTTCGGGAATCCCGAAATAATTTCGGGATTTCGGGACAAATCGGGAATCCCGAAATGCTTTTGGGCTTTTGGACTAAAATTTGACATATTATGCTTTTGGGCTAAAATTTGACATATTATGCTTTTGGGCCCAAACTGCCAATTTGTTACTACTAATCTGCCCACTGCGCACTGCACAAATTTGACATAGTTTCATAAATTAAGTTTCAATCTACCCACTGCCCATTTGTGCACAAAGTTTCAATCTGCCCACTACACATGCATCATGCATGCAATAAAAATAAATTAGGTACGAAACCCAAAAGCAAAAATAATAGTTACAAGCCAAGGTTTTAAAATAAATAAAGTAACAAACTCAAAAGCAAAAATAATAGTTATAAGCCAAGCTGGGTGGTGATTTTGGTGAAGGAAGGCTGGTGGCACAGTGGCTGCGCTTCAAGCTCTTGATGGAACAGAAGTGAAAATTGAAATGGGGATCTAACCTAAAAACAAATGAATGGCACAGATTAAATCTAAAACAATGAACGGTTGAAATAATTCTCTTATAATTAAAAAATAATAATATATATATAATATTTATTTCGGTTCGGTATGGGAATACAGAAAAAATGGAGATGCAATACCGAATCCCGTACCGAAAATTTCGGTTTGGTTCGGGATAACATACCGAAAATTTCGGGAATTTTGGTTTGGGATTTTTTTGGTTTGGGATCGGGATTTTTTCGGTTTGGTTTGGGATTTTTTTGGTTTGGGATCGGGATTTTTTCGGTTTGGTTTGGGATTTTTGGGATTTTTTTCCAGCCTTAATTACACTTAGTATGCAAGACCATATTTATGTCAAACCATGTTCCCCGCATAATAAAAAATTTATCCTACTCTTCAATCTCCTATGCTTCCAATGCATGTATAATCTTTTTCATTTTTTCATAGCAAAATAGATTAAAGAAGAAAGAAGAGAATAGAATGAAGTAATCAAATTTAAGACCTCAAGTACAAAAATAAATATTATCGACGGTATTAATAGCCTCTAACATTTCCCATAAGTCTATGAGAATCTTATACCAAGTCAACCCATTACATACTTTTCAGACTTATTCTTATCCTTCCCGCGGTAAACTTTGTACGAGCCCTACTGACCTTAATAAGGCCCGACTCTTGGCTTGCCAACCATTTCCACCAAGGCCATGCAAAATGGGCAAATCACCAAAATGAAAATGATAAAAAACACCTTTCTAGCCTTTTATACATCTAGGTTTAATTATGTTCGTTTTTTGTTTTGATTTATTTAATCTAATGATCAAAATAAATAAGTTGTATAGGAACTTAGAGCATGTTCATCCGTTGGTGGAAGACAAGGACAAAGACAACAACGTTGCCCTCCAGCCCAAAACTCTCCCCAGCAATCCAATAAAGCAAGGGCAAGTGATGGCCCAACCACTGTCCGCCCCAAAAACCTGTGTTGACCTTAGCCACAACTTTTTTTTTTTGTCAGCCACATGTAATTCACAAGGGAGAGTGGGCCGACAAAATTGCAGTGGAGGGCCCCGCTACAGCAGAGCACTGACTGCTTATCAACGACTTGGACATGTAGCGAATGAAGGGTCGTTGGATTTCCAACAACCAGATGATCTGGACCGTTGGATTTCTAATAGTGGATTTCTAACAATAAAAATAAATAAAATATTACCGTTTGACACGTGGCACGCTCTGGCCATCGATTTCAAATCAATTCGAAAATCAACGGACAAGATTATTCCAACGTTAAAAAATTTTAAAAATTCAAAAAAATATATAAAAAAAAACTAGAAATTTTTTTATATTATTATTTTATAAATACCCAACCATCTTCTCCATATCCCTATCACAACTTTATATATATTTTTACTACAATCTTCTATATATGTTTTCCACTTTTCAAATTCTTTTCTTTTTTTCCAAAAAACAGGTGAAAAGGCAATTTGATCGATCGCAGAAGATGTTGCTTTGCTTGAGGCTTGGGTGCTTGTTACTCATGACCCGATCACTGAAAATGAGATGAGGGTGCAGCATATGCAGAAGAAGTCATGCACAATTTGTCGAGAAGATTCAAGGCACATCCTAGACTGAGTAATCTCTGACAAGTATGTACAAACATCTACATAAAAATTTGAAAGCTTGACAATCCAAAAGCCGAAGGAATTTATAAAAGTGACAATAATCTAGCCAATATGATAATATTATTTTATTATTAATATATTAAAAATGCAATTAATATGTTATTATTTTGACCCTTGTTACGAGCACCTATCAACCGTGAAGATAAGCACGTATTCTGTGTGATTGCTCCGAAGTCATCCCAAAGCTTTATATGAAGTTTCATTCTAGTGTGTCCCCTATGAACCGATGTTCACGTAATTGCGTTCCATCGCCTTATGTTGTTAATTTCCCTCAACTCAAATACCTTCGACAAGCAAACTTTGTTCACTAATGTTTTTAAAGTTTTACCCCCCTGCTTGACCCCACAACATTTGCTAGATTGGTACCGTGGGTGAGAGTCGAACCCCAGAGGCTTGGGAGCAACTCTCACCCACAGAGAGCTTGGGAGCAAATCAAGGACCTGACTGCTAGACCTTTAAAGGCCGTGTAAACAAGTTAGGGTTACCGATAAATATCTTAATTAAGAGCCTATAATTTCTAACCAATCTCGTTTACAAGTAGACTACAGGAAAATGCTATCATTATACGATTTCTAGTATGTAGTCCAGAAAAAAATAAATATATCATAGTTTGTTTTTTGTAAAACCAAATGCATATTAAAGTGAAGGTCTTCTACAAAATGTAAATTGATGAGGAACAGAAAATAGATTTTAGACAGGATATATAAATACGAGTAAAGCTACGTAGACTAAATTTTTCAACCAAACGATTTGTTACTAATAAGAAATAAGCACGTTAATCAACACTTAAATAACAATCCTGTACGGATATAATATAATACTGATCACATTTTCTGCCATGTTCAACTCTACAAGAAATCTACAGCGCGAATTAGCACCAAAAACTGCTTCCGATACCTCTTACAAGGACACCTGCACTTGAATTAGTATTCTACCCCACTTCTACTACCCATCCATATTCAACTCATAAGAATCCGTACAGCGATAACAACTAGATTAAACAAGACACCCGGTCCAGACGCTCTAATTAGTGTTGGCATTAAGCTCGTGTCAAAGTCGAAAAGTGGGAAACATTATATGCAACCACAACCCCAGGACGGCATACAAAAACAAAAAGAACACCATCCGCAGATGATCATTTCAACGGATATGGGATTCTTTACATTACTTGCCAGAACGACATTTTTTCTCAAAACAAAAAGCAATGCTGTTTCAAGCCTCGAACCCAAACCATTACAAATATAAGAACAACCGGAAAACAAAGCAAACGGGCAGTAGCAACCGGAAAACAAAGCAAACGGGCAGTAGAGGATCCTATGCAGACGAAGCAGGGAAATTTGTTCATTTGTTAGGAATATGAAGAATCAACACGTACACAAATAGGTGTAGCGGATATGAGAATACTTCGTTAAATGTATGGGCAAACAAGAAAGGATAAGATTAAGAACGAGGATATCCGAGGTAAAGTAAGGAGTAGCCGAAATTGAAGGAAAGTTGAGAGAAAATCGGTTACGATTGTTTGAACATATGAAACGAAAGCCTACAGATGCTCCGGTTAAAAAATGTGATTACGGGACAGAGGTTCAAGGCTGAAAAGGTAGAGGAAGACCTAGAAGGACTTTGGAAGAAGACTCTTAAGAAAATACTTAGACTACTTGGATCTACCGGAAGACGTGACACAAAACCGAACCAATGGCTTTCTAGGATTCATATAGCCAACCCTGGGAAAAAGGCTTTATTGTTGCTGTTAGCAATATGAAGTTAGGGGTTGAATTAAGCCTACCAACCAAGAAAACATATGACATTTTCGATTGAGACTGCCCAAAAAGCATTACCATTCATCATGATTCAAGTGAAAAGTAAGCATATATAGCAATGAAATTCAAGTAAAAGATCAATCTAAATAAAAAAGAAGCGAGCATTGGTTGATGCTTATATTAGGTAGAAACTAGAAAGTAATTCATCAAGCCAAGAAAATCTCTAGGTTTCCATAAGACTAGATTAAACAAAATCGACGCCAATAGTCTAAAACGACATGTAACAATACCCGAAACGACAATTCATCAAAAGAAAAGCATGAGACCTAGGTGTTGGTAGCCCTGGTGTAGATCTGCTGGCTGGCGTGGGCAGAGACCATCCTGATCGAGCCTCTGGCCATCAATTCCCTGATGGCCCTCCTTGCCAGCGAGCCGTTGATCCTGAGACGGTCGGAGAGAATGGACGGTGTGATGAGCTTGTACTTGGGTGCCTCAGTGAGGAGCTTGTCGTAGGTTCCCTGGTCGAAGAGCACCATGTTGTTCACCTTCTCCTTCTGCTTTCCCTTGCTCCACTTCTTCTTCTTCTGCTTGCCTCCGCCGGACTTCGCCGGCTTCGACGACGGCGGCGGTGC